CCTCCTGATTCTCTTCCTCTTTTTCCTCTTCCTCTTGCGCCTCCTCTTCTTCCTTTTGATCCTCATCCTTTTCTTTTTCCTCTTCCTTCTCTTCTTCCTCTTCTTTTCCTCCTCCTCTTCCTCTTCATGATCTTCTTTTCCCTTCTCCTCCTCTTGACTCTCTTCCTCCTCATCTTCTTCTTCCTCCTCTTCCCTTTCCTCCTCTTCCTCCTCCTCTTCCTCTTCTTCCTTCTCTTCCTCTTTTCCTCCTTTTCTCCTTCTCTTCATCTTCCTCTTCCCTTTCCTCCTTCTCTTCATCTTCCTCTTCCCTTTCCTCCTTTTCCTCCTCCTCTTCCTCTTCATGATCTTCTTTTTCCTTCTCCTCCTCTTGACTCTCTTCCTCCTCCACTTCCCCCTCCTGCTCTTGATTCTCCTACTCCCTCTTTCTTTTCCTCCCTCTCTTCCTCCCTCTCTCTCTCCCTATTTCCTCCTCTCTCCTGTTTCTCTTCCTCTCTCTCCCCCTCCCCCACTCTCCTCTTCTTCCCCCCTCCTTCACCCAGGCTGATTGATTCCATCGGTTTTGTTCGTAGTAATAGACATGTCATTCCTTGCTTGCTCCCTTCCCTGTCCATGCAGGCCCCTGAGCTGATTTTCCCTCCAGGCTGTGGGTAGACTGAGGGAGGATGTCTCTGGCGTCTGGGCTCCCCGCTGACCCCGGACCCCACTGGGGAAAAGCAGCCTGCTCCTCCCTGTTCTGAGCATGCTGGTGCTCGCCTCCCCCATGTGGCTGAGTCCCTAGCACAGACGGACCCAGCAGGGCCAGTAACATCCCAGTGCTGCTGACCCCGGGGGTCACTGTCCAAATCCAGCCAACGGTCCTCACTGCCATGCGGGGACTCAAGTTAGACACAAGACACGCCCAGCCTTGAAGATGCACCTTAGTGTGTGACTGTGTATATGTGTAAATGTGTGACTGTGTATATGTGTAAATGTGTGACTGTGTATAGTGTGTTTAAATGTGTGACTGCATAGTGTAAATGTGTGATGGTGTATAGTGTATAAATGTGTTGTATGATACCAATGAACAGAGAAAGAGAGAGACACAAAGAGGCAGACAGACACACAGAGTCACAGAGACAGAGTCACACAGAGAGAGACAGAGACAGAGAGACAGAGACATGGGCAAGGTCACAGAGACAGAGTCACACAGAGAGAGACAGACACAGACACAGAGTCACAGAGACAGAGTCACACAGAGAGACACATGGGCAGAGTCAGAGACAGAGGAGGAGACAGAGCAACAGATACAGACACAGACAAGACAGACAGACATAGAGAGACAGACAGAGAGATGACACAAACAGAGGGGGAGACAGAGCAACAGATACAGACACAGACAAAGACAGACAGAGAGAGACAGAGACAGACAGAGAGACAGACACAGACACAGAGAGAGACAGAGAGGTAGAGGCAGACACAGAGTCACAGAGACAGAATCACACACAGAGAGACAGAGACAGACAGAGGGGGAGACAGACAGACAGAGACAGACACAAAGAAACAGACACAGAGAGGCAGAAAGACAGAGAGACAGAGTCACACAGAGAGAGACAGACACAGAGTTACAGAGACAGAATCACACACAGAGAGACAGAGAGACAGAGGGGGAGACAGACAGACAGACACAGAGACAGACAGAGAGATAGAGACAGACACAGAGACAGACAGACAGACAGACGCAGTCACACTCAACAAGGGAGCTCTCGTGTTGTTCTATGCCCGAGAGCTGGGATCAGTTGGGTAGGGAGAAAGTTTTTCTCAAGCGAGGAAAAATAAAGAAATCGCATGCTTCTCTTGGAGCTTAGAAAATAAGGACCCCAGCTCACGTCCTACCGACAGAAGCACCAACCATAGCGGTAGCTCACGTAGCTCCTGCAGGTGGACTGGTGTCAGGATCATAGCCTGTTTCTCCATGTTCTCTGTGCTCGTTACCAACAAGACTGATAACTTCTTGTTAACGTTTTCCCCATAACGTTTGTTTTGTTGGCCGAATTATCCTTAAATACGGCATGAGTAAGGATCCTGTATATCTTTGAACTTAGGGAAGTGACTTTTTCCTCGAATACTTCATTTTCAAGTCTTATTGTGATTTTTTTTTTTTGGTAAAAATCATTATTACTGCAATAGGATTTTGAAGTTTCAGGTTATCTGAGTTATTGGGAAATTGTCATCTTTCTTGTTGTGTTTGGCTGTTTTGTTTTTGTTTTTTTTGGGGGGAGGGAATTACATCAGACTAGTGAGAATGTTCTAGGTATTGAGTTTGAATGATACGAATATAAACCAAGTACCTGGTCAGTTTTCGTAAGCAATGCTTTGGGAAGATACATTTCTTATACATCCATGCCTCTAAAATAATCATCACATAGGTTACAAGATAGTTGTCCACCTTGCATTTGAGATGTGTTAATAATTGTAGTGATTTCCAGTCATTTCTTTTTGTTCTTGCTGTGGTTGTTGGATGTAAGTCTTTGCACTCAGGACCTGGACGCTGTCCCTGAGCTTCTTTGGCTCAAGGCTAGCAGCACTCTACCACTTGAGCCACAGCACCACTTCCAGCTCCTTTTTTTGGTCAGTCATGGAGCTTGAACTCAGGGTCTGGGCGCTGTCCCTGAGCTCTTTCACTCAAGGCTGGCGCTCTACCACTTGAGCCACAGCGCCACTTCTGGTTTTCTGCTGGTTCATTGGAGATCAGAGTCTCACAGACTTTCCTGCCCGGGCTGGCTTCGAACCACGATCCTCAGATCTCAGCCTCCTGAGCAGCTGGGATGACAGGCGGGAGCCACCTGTGCCCGGCTCCAGTTTTGTTTTGTAATTTATTAGACATAAGAGTCTCACAGACTTTCCTGTCTTGGGCCTGGCTTCAAACCACCATCCTCAGATCTCAGCCTCCTCAGTAGCCAGGATTATAGGCATGAGCCCCCAGCACCTGGCTAGTCATGTTATTTTTAATTCAAATACTTAATCAGGTGTTATGATTCAGAGAGGAAATACCGCCCTCCCCGATGGTGGGTTACAAAGGATGGGTGTCTTCCATTGCCCTGTTCCTGTTTCTTCATGTCTGAGGAAGTGATTGGTTCATGACAGCTGTCACTTAACCCATGGACCAATCCAGGGATGGACTCAAAAACTTGGAACAGACAAGGAAGTTGAACTGTGGAAAGCAAGGCCTAGGAGGGAAATACAGCACTGGGAAGTTCTCTGCCACACATACTCCAACTCCATCCAACTTTGGACTGTGGTCTCAGAAACCATAAGCCAGGCAGGCTTACAATGATGAGAATTTCCCTTAAAATCACCCAGTCTAATACTGAAGGAAGAAACACACACACACACACACACACACACACACCCCGCAAAGAATCATGGTATAGACGTTCACTTGTCTTTTATTACATTTTCAATATGGATAAAAAATATTGCTGATTCTCTTTTATCTCATGATAATGAGATTTTTTTTTATCGTCCGACAGGATCCTGATCTATTTTGAGCTTGCTGTGAGAACTCTCTGGAAATATTATTATTATTATTATTAATGGAAGTATTAAAGTTTTTAACCCTTTGAAGTGAAGACAGTCCACAGTGAATCCGTGCTAGGTTCCAGGTCTAAATTCTGGCACATTTTCAATACCATTTTAGTGTTAGATGGACTCCATCTTGGGCCTACTGTTAATCCTAGTTGAAAAGAAATCTGGGTAAACTCTGAAATCCCAAGGAAGTTGACTCAAATGTGTGTGTGTGTGTGTGTGTGTGTGTGTGTGTGTGTGTGTGCTGGTCCTAGGGTTTGAACTCAGGGCCTGGGTGCTGTCTCTTGGCTTTTTTGCTCAAGGCTGATTCTCTACCACTTGAGCCACAGCTCCACTTCTAGCTTTCTGGTGGTTCATGGGAGATGAGAGTCTCCGGGACTTTCCTGCCCAGGCTGGCTTTGAACCAGGATCCTCAGATCTCAGCCTCCTGAGTAGCTGGCATGGCAGGTATGAGCATCTGCACTGGCTCTTAATTCAACTCTTGGGGACTTAGGTTCGTTTATGCAGTTGTAAAAATATAGATCTAACAGATTGCAGTGAGAAATATAGAATACATTGAAACATATGCCTACATGTAGAAAGCTTGGAAGTTGGTAAAAAGAAATGAACCAAGGAGAAATTCAGAGTGTGGAGTCCACGGAGAATTAAGAAAGAAAGAAGTCTTAAAGTAAAGGCAGGGGGGTGGTGGTGTCGAGAGACAAGATAAGAAGAGAGAAAAATACCTTTTCAATTTAATAGTGTGAAGCTGAGTGACGGATTTAATGGAAGTAGTCTTAGCGAAGTGGAGAAAATAATTTTCAATTTAGAAAGTGTGGAGACGGGTCGATGATTGACGCTAGAGAGCAGGAAAGAGTTCAGACTGTCTAACTATGGGATTGCTAATCAAGAAAAGATGGTTTCACTAAAAAAACAGACATAGCCAGGCACCGGTGGCTCACGCCTGTCATCCCAGTGACTCAGGAGGCTGAGATCTAGAGGATCCTGGTTCAAAGCCAGCCCGGGCAGGAAAGTCTGTGTGAGACTCTCATCTCCGATGAACCACCAGAAAATCACAAGTGGCGCTGTGGCTCAAGTGGTCGAGCGCCGGCCTTGAGTGAAAGAGCTCAGGGACAGACAACACCCAGGCCCTGAGTTCAAGCCCCACAACTGGTACCAAAAATGAATTCAGGCACCGCCACTGGTCTCCTGGATTTCTAGTGGTGTGAGACTTTTGTCCCTAGCAGCCAAACGATTCTTCTACTCGCCATTTTTATCCTTCACGTTGCCTACTTCTTTCTTGCAAGCTCCTTGGTTGTTAAAGTGTTGGTGGTGGTGGTGGTGTCATTGTGGTTGCTTTTCCTGCATTTTGGTTTTCCTCCTCCCAGGAAAAGTTCCAGCAGCTGGAAGGTGTTTGGTGCCAGGGTTAAGACTCATCAAGATCCATCAAATACACAAGCATGGCGTGCTATGGACACCCAGACGGAGCTACCCGGGACCTGGGGGAAAGCCCACAGCCCACAGCCCACAGCCTTCGCTCGGCAGATCACCCCAGCGTTCCTAGGAAAGTCAGCCTGGGTTTTGATCACCTGGTAGCTGAGATGCACAGCACCTTCCCCCTCTCTCAGGGACAGTCTCAGGAACTCACCTTTTGGGGGTCCCAAGCCACAGAGTGCCACTCACTGTGTGACACCCACCTGAACGCAATGTCTTCTCAGCCCCCCGAACTCCCCTGGAAATGGGGTGGGGTGGTCTCCCCGGTTGGATTGAGTCCTTCTGTGCTACCAAGGCCTGACACTGTGAATGAAGGAAGAAATGCTTGGGGAAATTCTCTCACGGGGAGCCATCCTGGGGCTGACTGGTCCAGATTCCACGTTCCAGATTCACCCTCCACTCCTTCAGAGAGAAGGAGTCCAAGAGAATGGTTGGAAGAAAGGCAGGGCTACCATATTGGATTTGAACGCGGCCTTTCTGTGGAAGACCCAGCCTTCCCCACCGACTTCCCACCCAGCCGAGGCACAGAAAGAAGTGGACACAGGAATGTGCTAGAACCTTCTGGAATGTTCTCTAAAGGTTCTTTTCTACCCAGGGGAAGTTCGCAGATGGAAGACACAAAGGTATGTATGTACCCCTATGAATAGGGTTATCTAAAAAGCGTGATGCATTAGGGTTAATCATTTGATCGTGTGTTAGGTCTACTGGTAATGGTAATAGCTAGCTATTCTTTCAGAAATCGACTTCTATCGTGTGGGGAAAATAGGTCTGCTTTCTACAATAAGTTTTTGCAAATGAGGAACCCCTGGTGAAGTTTCTAGAGAGTTCTCTATACCAGTTCTTGGGATCATTGAGGGAAAAAAGTTCATTTTCCATAACAATTTTTTTGAAACCAACAAGTATTTTTGTTGTTGTTGTTGGTCATGGGGCCTGAACTCAGGGTCTGGGCGCTGTCCCTCAGCTCTTCAGCTCAAGGCTAGCGCTCTACCACTTGAGCCACAGCGCCACTTCCAGCTTTTTCTGCTTATGTGGTGATGAGGAATCGAACTAAGGGCCTCATGCAGGCGAGGCAAACCCTCTACCACTGAGCCACCTTCCCAGCCCAAGTATTTTTTGAATATATCTTAAAAAATTTTTTTTTTTACTTTTGTGGGTCCTGGGGCTTGAACTCAGGGCCTGGACGCTGTCCCTGAGCTCTTTTGCTCGAGGCTGGTGCTCTACCACTTGAGCCACAGCTCCACTTGCGGTTTTCTGGTGGTTCATTGCAGACAAGAGTCTCATGGAGTTTCCTGCCCAGGCTGGTCTCGAACCACGATCCTCTAGATCTCAGTCTCCTGAGTAGCTGGGATGACAGGTCTTGAGCCACCAGTGTCCGACTGAATAGATCATTCTTGAAGTCCTGATTTCCCTAAAGCTAAATAAAATGTTCTAAAACACATTTTATTGTGTAAACTATAGCTGGAGTTTGAGCTGGTGGTATTTCCTACTCTTACTGTTTTAGACGCAACCACAAATACCCATATTCATTGCATGTCTATTTTGAGTAATGCTGTAATGATCCAAAATCTTATTATCATCATCAAGAGGGAAGATTTTCCTCTCACCAGAGCCTCTTAAATTATATTATTGGCAGGAAACTTCCACTGAGATTAATCCAAGAGTAGGAAATTAAGTAATTACTATGCAGTGCATCCTGATCTTTCATTAGTGATTTTCCAACCATTTGAAGCACCACAAGCGTTTCCTGTACAGTATTTGAAATGTCTCTGCTCTGTCCTGCAGCCAAGGGCAAAATAATAATAATAGTAACAATAATAATAGTAATAATACTGTCATTGCACGTTCAAATTACAAAGACAGCCAAAAATAACTCTATGTCAGATTCAGTGATATTGTAACATGCTGGGCATGATTTTATAGTAAGAAGCAAAGATAAGATTGCATGAGTTGGGCTGGGAAGATGGCTCAGTGGTAGAGCGCTTGCCTTGCATGCCTGAGGCCCTGGGTTCGATTCCTCAGAACCACATAAGCAAAAAGAAAAAAGCCAGAGTGGCACTGTGGCTCAAGTGGTAGAGCACTAGCCTTGAGCTGAAGAGCTGAAGGACAGCACCCAGGCCCGGAGTTCAAGCCCCACAACCGGACCCCCCCAAAAAAAAAAAGATTGCATGAGTTTAGGAATAGCATTTGGCTAAAACTACCTGATATACAGATTGTTCAGTGCCTGAAATGACCTGAGTCAAAGACCAATACGTCTTAAGAATATCTAGGGGGTTGTTTGGCTTTGTTTTGTGGGTGGTACTGGTCAGCATGGGTCTTGAACTCAGGGCCTGGGCACGGTCCCGTATTGATTGGTGGTGATTGAGTAAAACGAGAACTTTCTAAAGGGATGTAAAAGCGTTCTCCATTTTCTTTGGAGCATGGGTAAGGCTGCAATAGGATTTCACATAAATCGGGGGGGTTGCATTTTTGGGGGTCTCCCTGCGTGTGGATGTCTAGAGTCCTGTGGGCATCATGTCCGGGGTGTGTTTTGATTGTACCATCCAGTGTGTTCACTTGTAGCTTGATAAGCACGTGCTCATTTTTTTATACGCAAGCATTCTTTCTATGTAGGCATCACGTCGATTTTAAACAAAATGTAAAAATATGATAACAAGCGAAAGGCACCTTGGAGACAGGTGGAGAATGCTGGTGTTTAACTGCTCTCCACGCCCACCCGCGCTGGGTTCCTGACTTTGCGCTGGTTTTGTGCTTGTTTCAGCCGAGCGATTGCTCCTTGGAAATCCTCGTGGTCCAGCGAGTCGGCCCAGCGAGCTGGACTTCCTTCCGAGACCACGTGGAAAAGTGAGTATGATTCTACCCTGAGCAGCGCTGAAGTTGCCAGGCCTGGATCGAGGTGTCTGCTTTATACTACGCGGCTATCACTGCTGCATGAGTAATGCCAAATATCTGTACCCTGTGAATAGAGCCGAGGAGGAGAGAAGAAGAAAAGGAGGAGGAGGAGGAAGAGGAGAGGAGGAGGAGGGGAGGAGGAGGAAGGAGAAGAGGAGGAGTCAAGGAAGAAAAAGGGGAGGAAGAGGAGCAAGAGGAGCAAGAGAGAAGGAGGAAGAAGAGGAGGAAGAGGAAGAGGAGGAGATGAGGAAGAGGAGGAGGAGAGGAGAAGGAGAAGAAGAGGAGAAGGAGGAGGAAGAGGAGGAGAGGAAGAAGAGGAGGAGGAGAGGAGAAAAAGAGGAGGAGGAAGAGGAGAGGAGGAGGAGGGGAGGAGGAGGAAAAGAAGGAGGAAAAGGAGGGGGAAGAAGAGGAAGGGAGGAGGAGGAAGAAAAGGAGGAGGAAGAGGAGGAGAGGAGGAAGAGAAGGAGGAGGAGAGGAGAAAAGGAGGAAGAAATGAGAAGAGGAGAAGGAGGAGGAGGGGAGGAGAAGAAAAGGAGGAGGAGGAGGAGGAAGAGGGGAAGTCAAGGAAGAAAAAGGGGAGGAAGAGGAGGAAGAGAGGAGGAAGAAGAGGAAGAGGAGGAGATGAGGAAGAGGAGGAGGAGAGGAGAAGGAGGAGAAGAAGAGAAGGAGGAGGAGGAGGAGAGGAGAAGAAAAGGAGGAGGAGGAGGAAGAGGAGAGAAGGAGGAGGAGAGGAGGAGGAAAAGAAGGAGGAAAAGGAGGGGGAAGGAGAGGAAGGGAGGAGGAGGAAGGAGAGGAGGAGGAGGAAGAGGAAGAGGAGGAGATGAGGAAGAGGAGGAGGAGAGAAGAAGGAAGAGAAGAGGAGAAGGAGGAGGAAGAAGAGGAGAGGAGAAAAGGAGGAAGAAAGGAAAAGAGGAGAAGGAAGAGGAGGGGAGGAGAAGAAAAGGAGGAGGAGGAGGAAGAGGGGGAGTCAAGGAAGAAAAAGGGGAGGAAGAGGAGGAAGAAAGGAGGAGAAAGAGGAAGAGGAGGAGATGAGGAAGAGGAGGAGGAGAGGAGAAGGAGGAGCAAGAGGAGGAGGAGGAGAGGAGAAGGAGGAGAAGAGGAGGAAGAGGAGGAGGAGGACAGGAGGAAGAGGAGAAGGAGGAGGAGGAGAGGAGGAAGAGGAAGGAAGCACTTTTGATGAACGCATGCATTAATCAGTCTCAGTTGCCATTCCTGAGGTTTTTAAAAAATCATCCAATAGATGTTTTTCTCTTTTGAAAACTGAAGTTGAATGTTTTACGATTCCAGAGCTGCTCCTGCAGGCGCTCCACGGGTTGGTTTGTGTTGAATTCGTTACTTGATTAATGACATGTGTGCGCCGGACCCGTCCAGCTGACCTAAGTTCACATAGGGTCACCCTTCTATCGAAGACATTCTTTTCTTTTTCTTTTTGCGTAGGAGCATCTGCTAGTCCATAGCTAAATGCATTTCTGTTTGCTCTTTGCAAAACAAATTTGGTGACTACAGGATCTGTTTTTCCCTTTTGCTCATCTAAAACCGAGCCTCAGGATGCAAAGGTCTCTGTATCATTCAAAGGCCGGCTCTCTAAGCATCACCATTTGTACCATACCACCTGCATCTACTGAGGCTTCCATGCTAGCCCTTTTCAGCTTTTATTTAAACATTTTTGACTCTGGTGTCCCTCCTAAATGAGCGCGGATCTCGTTGTTAAAGGCCCTAATCATTGACTTAAAGTTATCTTGATGCCTATTAATTATCCCAGGCATGAAGGATTATTCATATGTCAACAACATAAACACCAGCAAACAGGTACTCAGAAAGCAGTGGGGGGGGGAGGGGACTAAGGGGAGGGAGAATGAAGAGGGGAAGAAGAGAGGGAGGGGATTCATGAAGCCTTAATCCCAGCTACTCAGGAGGCTGAGATCGGAGGATCACGGTTCAAGGCCAGCCTGGGCAGGAAAGTCTGTGAGACTCTGATCTCCAAGGAACCACCAGAAAACCAGAAGTGGCGCTGTGACTCAAGTAGTAGAGCACCAGCCTTGAGTGAAGAGCTCAGGGACAGCGCCCAGGCCCTGAGTTCAAGCCCCACAACCAACAACAAAAATAGTCACTTGCAGCTTGGGGAAATGGGACATGGGCGACATCTCGGGAGGAATTTGAGACACCAAGAGCAAAATCAATTAAGCGAGGAATCTTGCCCAGCACCGAGCCTCATGTCTTCTTCTATTTATGGAAATAAACTGCAACTCGGGGGGTGTCACTCCCGTGAGGCGGGTGCTCCTACCACTTGAACCACGCCTCCAGTGTGACTTCTTGCTGGTGACTCAAAGATGGAGACTCACAGACTTCGAAAACCAGTCTGAGCTCCAGGCTGGCTTCGAACCATGATCCTCTAGATCTCAGCTCACGGGTGTAGCGAGGACAGCGGTGCGTGAGCTGCCAGCGCCTGGCTGGAAAATATAGTCTTCATTTTCATTTTTACCATAAGAGGGATCCTGGGAAGGCTGAGAGACAGTTTTGCCAGTTCTTGGCATCATTGCGATTGTACCGAATCCGGCCCTGAGTTAGGAGCACTGTTTTATGAGTCCATCGCTCCTGTCTTCTTTCTCGTTTGTTTATTCTCTTGTCCAGCTCAACAGCGCAGGAATTTCTTGCAACGCTACTCTGGGTGCTCTTCCTTTTTATGTTCTCTTTTTATTTACGGGACGAATTAGGTCTCATCTTCAGCCCTTCTTCCATGTTTCCTTCTCAGAATAAGGGAGATGTATCGGGCAGAGGACATTCACTCAAATTCGGGAACCATCTGGAACCCTACGACCCCTTTTCCACGCCAGCTCTCCTCCAACGTCCGGTTCAGCGTGCACATCTCCACAAATGACCCACCTCGGGTGATGCATCTCACCCCGCCAGGTAGAAGCAGTCAGTCATGAACCTGCTCTGAGCCTGGAAATCACCCAGAAACATCTAGAAGAACTGCGATGTTATGTTGCCCCCAGAGGGAAATAAGACTCAAAGACTTGAGAACCCTGGAAGTGTGGAGAGGAGAGAGCAGGCCTTCAAGGATTCTTTCTCTTTCTCTCTTTCTCTGCCGGGCGCAGCGGCTCACGCCTGTAATCCCAGCCACTCAGGAGGCTGAGATCCAAGGGTCTCGGCTTGGTCGGTGGGAATTCTCTTCCTTCAGGCAGGAACCTATCTTTTAGACAAAGCACGAATTGAGAAGAGGAGACCACACCTTGCCTGGTTTGGTTATTTTGTGGTCGCTGTTGTTTGTTTTCTTTATGTGGTGCTGAGGATTGGAACCCAGGGCCTCATGCGTGCTAGGCAAGCGCTCTACCACTGAGCCACCTGCCCAGCCCCTGGTTATTTTGTTGTTTGTTTGTTTGTTTGTATTGTTTGGGGGCTGACCCTGGGGTTTGAACTCAGGGCCTAGACACTGTCCCTGAGTTGTTGTGGGTTGTTTTGTTTTTGTTTTTTTTTTTGCCCAAGGCTGGGTGCTCTACCATTTGAACCACAGCCTCCCCTTGTGGTTTTGGATGCTTCCTTGGAGATTAAAGCCTCTTGGAATCTTCCCTCCCCGCCCTGGGTGTTGGTGGTGAACTGCGATCCTCCCGTCTCAGTTTCCTGAGTAGCTGGGATTACAGGCAGGAGTAAGGGGCTGTCACCTGGCTGTCTCCTTTGTTTTCTACACAAGGAGTGGATGGAAATTAAGAGAGAAAAAGCTCTGAATGGAGCCTGGGAAATAAAGGAGCTGCACTTCCCTGCATCTCCTCTGGGTGGTGCCGGAGAGTCGCAAAACTTCAGGATGGAGTTGCTTTCTGCTCAAACCTTCTCCATTCTGTATTCTGTATCATCATTGACTTTCTTCTTCTTTTTCTTCTTTTTTAGCGAATTATCTCGTCGAGGACCTCATCGCCGAAGTTCTACACTTCTTTCCAAACGACCAGCTCTTTCCCAAAGATCATCTTCTGCAAATAAGCGGTTCGGAGGACTTTTTACAGAGGTGATCACTCCTACTTTGTAAAAAGTACATCTGATTGACTTCACACCTGCAAGTGTTTGGTTTTTGTTTATTTAAAAAATAATAATAAGCCCAGCTTGGCGCTGGTGGCTGACGCCTGTGGTCCCAGCTACTCAGGAGGCTGAGATCTGAGGATCATGGTCGGAGGCCAGCCTGGGCAGGAAAGTCTGTGAGACTCTGATCTCCAATGAACCACCAGAAAAAGTGGAGCTGTGGCTCAGAGTGGTCGAGCACCAGCCTTGAGTGAAAGAGCTCAGGGACAGCGCCCAGGCCCTGAGTTCAAGTCCCAGGACTGGCAAAAGAAAAAAAAATGCTCTTTTCACCTTGATATCTTTCATTGTTCAGCGTCGTGGACACCTTGCAGAGTATTT